TGTGTGTATGTGTGTGTAAAAAAGATTTCCATATCCTGAGGGGAATTATGATGGTTTTGGTTGAGTTACTGAGGTTTGCTGGCTTTTTATCAGTCTCATAATCCAAAGAATTGGCTGAAAGGCTGATGTGGTTCTTCGTTTTGTGGCCTGGGGTTTCCTGTGGCCAAGACACAGCCAAGATTAGCATGTGGTCTGGCTGGATGTCATGGAGGCATTTCCCGTCTTAACAGTACAATTCCGCCCTTCTAACAGCACGCGGTTTCCAGCGCTCGTTTCATGGGTAGGCAATAATTGCAGCTGGGCAAACAAAGTCTTTCTTATATTCTTAAAAGCTTAAAAGTTAAAAAGCAACCTCTTTGAAAACTAACTAATTTTAGAAAGGAATTTGGGCCAAGGTGTTTTGATTGGGTAAGAATGTCAGGAAGATGATCAAAATTGCCCAATGAAAACTCTGAATCTCCTCTCACCCCAACATGAGTTATTATTAGACTGGTGTAAATCTTAACACACGACATGTGCTGCTGTGTCATTGTAGCGGGAATGGGAGGGGGGGTGTTCCTGGCAGGAATCACAAAGGGTATGTCAACCTCAGGCGAGCGTGCCAAATCATGATGTAAACATGTAGCACGAGGTTGTTTTACATTCCTTCAACCCTTGAGCGTGCCAAAAATCATGATGTAACCATGTAGCACGAGGTTGTTTTACATTCCTTCGACCCTTGCAAAGAAAATTGGAAGCTACTGTACTCCTTTATATTTTCATTCTTGTTAGTTTCTGTCTTTCTTTTTCTAAACTTGAGTAAAGTTATTTGGAGAAAAAAAAAACTTGTACTGAAACAAAACAATGTGTCAAGTTTTTTCCCCCCAAATAACTTTATTCAAGTTTTTTTTTAAAAAAGATAGAAACTAGCAGGAATGAAAATATAAAGGATATTAATCTTATACCATATTAATTGGAGGCTAAAGACAGATTATTTTATTCTATCGTTTTGTTCACTTAAGAGGCAAAACTCACTGAAAAGCTGTCTCACTTAGCAACAGAAATGTTGGGCTCTATTGCAGTCCTACATTGAGGACTACCCGTATTCTAACCAGTAAAGTGTTGCTGTTATTTTAAATTCACGGCACCTTAGTGTATTCCGAAGTGTAAGCTGTGCCTTAGTGTTCAATTGAAAGTGATTGGAGTGTGTCTGACAACCAGGCTTGTGAGTGTGTGACCGTAAACTGAATCTGGAAGTGTGTGTAAAGCATTATTTATAAAATGTGTTGGCCGCCCATCTTACCATAGGGTAACTCTGGATGGCTTATACAGTTACATCTAAGCTAAAACATACAAAAGTTAAAATCAAACATTAACAACAAAGAGATATGGGGAGAGTGTGGGGGGGAGGTGGGATCTTTTATCACTCGATCAACCACCCCCACTGGGCTGTTCCCCCCATGAGGCCCCAAACTGACAGGCACAATCAAGTCTTTAGGCCAGAGGTGGTGTTCAGCAGGTTCTGACCAGTTCTGGAGAATCAATAGCGAAAATTTTGAGTAGTTCAGAGAACCAACCTCTGACTGGCCCCACCCCCATCTATTCTCTGCCTCCCAAGTCCCATCTGATTGGCTGCGTCTTCTTTTGTTGCCCTGCATGGGAGAACAGAGCTGGAAAGCAGGTTAGTGGCGTGGGGAGGCAATGGGGATTTTGCAATATATCCTTCCCCTGCCACACCCACCAAGCCACGCCCACAAAACCGGTAGTAAACAGTTTTGAATCCCACCACTGCTTTAGGCCCTTATGAAAGGATAGGAAGGGTGAGGCCAAGTTCACATCGGGATGGGCAGAGGGCAGGAGTGACAGCAGAGAAGGCCCTCCTCCTGGACCCCATCAGCTGGAATAATCAGGCTGATGGGACCCACAGCATGCTTCCTCTTCCGGCACGGGTGGTACGAGCCAATCCCAGTGGGCTGAGATGGTCCCTCAAGTAACCTGGTCCCATGCCATGAAGGGCTTGAAATGTGATCACCAACACTTTGAACTGAACCCATGCAGCTCGTGGAACAGTGGCGTTACAGGAGCCATTCTTGGTGGGCCCAAAACTACCTGCGCTGCCCAGTGGTGGGATTCAAAAAATTTATACTACTGGTTCTGTGGTCGTGGCTTGGTGGGCGTGGCAGGGGAAGGATACTGTAAAATCTCCAGTCAGAGGTGGGATTTGCCGGTCCTCCGAACTACTCAAAATTCCTGCTACCGGTTCTCCAGAACTGGTCAGAACCTGCTGAATACCACCTCTGGCACTGCCGCACTTTGTACCTGTTATGTCTTTAGGACTGGTTGGGGTTTCCAACCAGGTCCGCTGTTTGAGCGGGAGCAGCAGCAGCTCCCATTGGTTGGCTCCGTTTGACAATCGGCTATAAAAGCCGGCTGTTGAACGGAGCCAGCCGTTGTTCGCTTGCAGTCTGCCTTGTTAGCTGGCAGACGTGACAACCCTTTATTCCTTGAATAAAGACTGTTCGTTGTATGCTCTGGTCTATGCCTCGTCTATTCTGTCGCTCCACAACACTGGCGACGAGGATGGGATATGACCGCAGGCTAGCCAGAAGCAACCAAATACAAAAGAGCTGAAGTCACACCGCGAAGCCTCAGAGCTGAACCGCGATCGCTTCGCACCCAAAGCGCAAGCCATTTCCGCTGCGAAAGAGCTGTAGTCACGGCGCTGAATTCTCAGCCGCCCACGCCCCCGAGAGGGTGCGAAATTCAAACCGCTGTCGTTTGAATTGTCGCTCAAGCGAAGTTACGGCGCTGTTAGCTGCAGCCGCCATGAGCACAGAGAGCGCGAAACGCGGGCTTTCCTCGCAAGGGCCGAGTCACCGAGCGAGTCGAGAGCGTTGTAACCGCAACCGCCAGCACGCACGATAAGCGCAGCCCCCAGGCCACAACCCACCTGAGAGATAGCCCGGTCTACCGACGACACCGAGGGGCCCAAGATGAACGCCAAGCCGGCGTTTCAACCATTTAAAGCCAACGAGGAGACGTGGGACTCCTACAGGAATCGTTTCAGCCATTACATCGATGCCATTGGTTTAGCCGACGCCGCGGAGCACAGGAAGAAATCGTACTTCCTTAGCTACTGCGGGGCAGCAGTTTTCGATACGGCCACAGCACTTTTTGCACCTCGTGACATCAAGAACGTCCCATGGAGTGAGTTACAAGAAACACTCTCGAACCACTACTCCCCTAAACCTTCCCAGATTGCAAGACGCTACGCGTTCAGGATGAGGAAGCAAGCAGAGGGGGAATCCATCAATCAATACATGGCCGCCCTGAGGACAGCCGCTCTACAATGCGAATTCAAGAATTACTTAGACGACATGCTTCTCGACCAACTCGTCTGCGGGGTAAGGGATCAGAGGCTCCAACGACGCCTGCTGGCCCGGAAGGATCTAAATCTTTCCCAAGCGGTAGACGAAGCCCTAGCTGCAGAACTGTCCGCCCAATCGGCGGCTGAGATTCAGGGCATGACACCAAAAAATGCTACCTCCACAGTCCACTCTGAGGAGGTGTTGAGCGAGGATGACCCATCTGAAGGTGCAGATGTCCATCACCTCAAACAGCTGAAACAGCCACAGGTAGGAGCGAGGCGGAGAAACAGCAGTGGCCCACAACAGAACCTTTTGTGCCTAACCTGCGGGGGTTCCCATTCCCGGGCATCTTGTAGGTTTAGAAACGCCAGTTGTCTAAACTGCCACAAGAAGGGTCACCTTGCAAGAGTCTGCCAGGCAGCACGCGCTCCGCCCCAGAAGTTCCCTTCATCTCCTAGCCTCCAAAGGCAAGTAGAAGACTGTTACACGTGTTACCACGCCAACCACACTTCTCAAACTCCAAATAAAATTAAACTTTCTCTCTCCCTAGAAGGTAAACCTTGTACCATGGAGGTCGATACCGGCTCAGCGCTCTCAATCATCTCCTGGGACACGCTGAAAAAGATTCAACCCAGACTGACCAGGAAGCAGCTGCAAAAGTGCCACCTCACCCTGAGAGACTATCAAGGCAAGAACATCCCTGTCCTCGGGAAAGGCAAGTTCCTTGTTAAATTCCAAACCTTCAAAGGCCATCTGCCTTTAGTGGTGGTTAATGGTACCCTCCCTAGTCTTTTGGGGTTAGATTGGTTCCCCTCTCTCAGCCTTAGTATAACAGGGATTCATGCTGTCTCGACTTCCGATGTAGACACATTGTTCTCAGATTATTCCGATGTTTTCAGTAGCGAGTTGGGTTGCTACAATGGCACACCCATCTCTTTCTCCGTAGACCCCCAGGCAGTCCCGGTCCGCCTGAAATTCCGCAGGGTGCCTTTCGCCATCCGCCCAAAATTAGACGCGGAACTAGACAAACTCCTCAAACAAGGGGTAATTGAACCCACAGATTTCGCCAAGTGGGAGACCCCCATAGTCACCCCGTTAAAAAAGGACGGTAGTTTGAGAATTTGTGCTGATTACAAGACAACCCTTAACCATTATCTTCAGGTTAGCACATACCCCGTGCCAGTCATCCAACACCTGTTGCACACTTTCGAACCCGGCACCATTTTTGCCAAATTAGACATGTCGCAGGCATATCAGCAATTCCCTGTCGACAACCACACAGCAGACTTGCAAACCATAGTAACTCACAGAGGACCATTCAGGTGTAAACGCCTCCAATTTGGCGTTAGTGTTGCCCCAGGTATTTTTCAGTCGCTGATGGAGAGAATTCTCCAAGGACTCCCTGGGGTAGTCCCCTACTTTGACGATATTTTGGTCTCCGCTAGGGATAGGCCCCAGCTCCTACAGAGGGTTAGGTCAGTTTTGGA